AGGAAAAGTGGTGGTCGTAAACTAAAAAACAAAAATTATATTCAATATTCAACTAACAAATAAAAATAGAAAGTTATTACGACTTTTCTAAATAGTTTTATATGAATTGAAAATGGACCACTTGAAACTCAGTTCTCGACCACCCCGGTCGTAAACTAAATTCTGATATATTTTGTATATTAGTTCCCGACCAACAAAAATTTTATGTAAAAAAATGTTTCAGACTATATTTTATCCATAAATTCGATAGAAAAATTAACCTACTATAACATAAAATCAATTAGTGAAAAGTCTTACATTCAAGAAGAACATTATTTACTATTTTCTACATCAAACACACATACACTTTTTATAGACACAACGTGTAAACAACAACCCCCTTGTCAGCGACTATTTAAATGAATTTTGAAGGCGAAACCGTTTACCAACTATCAAATCTCAATGGTATTTTAGATTGGGAAAACTGTCTGGCAGCCATTTCAGCATTTATTGGACAAAAACGAGTGCATAGGGTCATTTCACTGGTTCTCGGCCTGCTAAGTAAGAAATCGACTTTGGAGGTGTAGTTAATATGGAAAAAAGTGTCGGATCAACAATGTGAGGATATTAAGTAAATCTTTGGAATGTTTTTTATCAAAAATTAGTCGTCTAAACCATGCTTTAGATACAAAAAGCGAAAAAAAAAGAAAAATTAAAAAAACGTATTTTTTTTGGTTCTTGGTCACTCGCCGCAGATCTCGGCCAATTTTATATCAGTTCTCGGCCATACAAATTCCAGGTACCTATTCGAAAAATACATGTCATCCAGCCTTTCTCGGATTTGCCTAGAACCCATCCACACAACTGCATGAGCTTTATTGATGCCTTCTGCTTCTCTCAAAGAAATTTCTGGGTTTCTTCTCATGAAGTTAGAGTTCCAAGTTTGCTTCGGCATTCCTCCTTTAAATAAGTTCAGGCCAGGGAAATCCACATTTGGAAAGCTTAATCACCCATTCTTTAATAATTTTTTTGCCTTCTTCAATTAATAGAGGCTGTGGTCCTCGTTTCCTCAGCTCATCAGGAACTCGACCAGTGAGCCGGTCTTGAAGTGTCGTTCTCGGGACTTTATACCTTCTCTTGGCTTCACGACCTGAGATATTGTTGATTCGGACTTCATGTAAATCTTTTTTCAAATCCATTTCAGAATATTGAAACATGGTTCGTTTAGCTACTGCTTTTGCCTTGGGTCTGACAGTTGTTTTTTTCTTGGAACTTGCACTTTTTTTTGTGGGAGCCACTAAAAAAGACAGAAACAAAAACTTTTCTTTTAGCAAAATTGTTTAGGTCTCTGAGTTATCTTAAATGATGGGTACTTTAACTTTAGTAAGGTAGGTGGTATAGGTACCTACTCCATTGAACATGCAATCAGGAATTTTATAATGGCCGACAATTGAAACACACAAAATATATGGATCCATGGGTTCTCGGCCACTGAACTCTAGTAGTGGCCGAGATAAGGTAGTTCTCGGCCCCTGAATATTTATGAAAATTGAAGTTCGAAAGAAACATTATTTTATATAATATTTGACGGCCGCAAACTAATATATAAAAAGGAGATATCCAAATGCACCTGTTAAAAATTTTATTATGTATTAACTATTTACATAATCTGGATGAATTCAAAATAGAAACATTAAACAAGTATATGATTCTCGGCCACATGGCCGAGAACTAAAATACGTGTTTTTTTCAATACTACTTTCCGGCCGCCTGAAATTTCATGAAAAAAAATAGTTTTAATAAGACTTTCTCATAAAATTATGAAGGTAAAATATATTCCTATAAGTAAAAACACTTTCCATACATTTCTAACATAAAAATGTTGAAATATTTACTATTTTCTGCTCAAACATCACTAAGCACTTTTGAAGAATAACAAACGTCGTACTCGCGACTTGAGTAGACCTCTACTAAATGATTTTTCACGTCTAAACCAATTGCACCCCTAACAACACCCAAAGTCATATGGGTACGAGAAAGATACAGAGAGTCAGATAAGCATCGAGAATATGTATACGTGCTGTAGTTTTCTTATTTTTCAACATTAAACAGAAAAATGGCCGAGAACCGGTGATGGCCGGTTAACCAGTGAAATGACCCTATTTACTATTTATTCCTGATTAAAGGTGAATGTGGTCGAGAACTAGTAGTGGTCGGCAAACTAGCGCAGTCACCCTAATGATAAGATGTCCCGAAATTCATATTTTTGAAAATTTGAAATAAAAATTTGAGGGCTCTGTAATTTTTCTACAAAAAACTTAACTTTGATTTTTTTATAGATCAATTAACGTTTCCACTTTTGCTTTTTGACCCATGTTTATATAAACTTTTTGGTGTATTTTGGTGCCTAGAATACAGAATTGAACTTGAATTGAAGTATTTACTCCCAATTTGGGACAATAACCTGCATATTATCGTACAATTATGTATTTGACTATTTGGCGCCGACCTAATTTTTATTATAAAATGGGGTCGTTAGTAGTTAGTAGGTATTTTTTCACTAGATTGTTTGTGATACCTTATTATGTCTTATTACCTAGGGCTGGGCGATTATCAAAATAAATAATCGATTATCGATTATTAAAAATAATCGATTATTTTCGATTAATCGATTAATCGAAAATAATCGATTAATCGAAAATAATCGATTAATCGAAAATAATCGATTAATCGGAAATAATCGATCAATCGGAAATAATCGATTAATCGAAAATAATCGATTAATCGAAAATAATAGATTAATCGAAAATAATCGATTAATCGAAAATAATCGATTAATCGAAAATAATCGATTAATCGAAAATAATCGATTAATTGAAAATAATCGATTAATCGAAAATAATCGATTAATCGAAAATAATCGATTGATCGAAAATAATCGAAAGTAATCGGTTAATCGCAAATAATCGATTATTTTCGATTATTTGATAATTTTTTTCGATAAATCGTTTATTTTCGATCTATCAATTATTTTTGATTATTCGATTATTTTTGATTATTCGCTTATTTCACAATAATCGGTAGATTTTTTTCTTGGGTTTCATGAAGTAAAAAAAAATTCACTTGCCCTTAACCGGCTTGTTTTGAAATAAACTCTCTGGTTACTTTGGAGTTTGAGGCCCGGTTTATTCATCTTCAGATAGACTTGCTGGTTGACAACTATTAACAAGATCAATTTACCCTTCTATAATTATTGTCTCGGTCGACCAAGGGCCGACCAATAACTGGCCGACCAATGGGATTACAGATTGCGTTATTATCCGCGAAATTGCATACCTAACAGTTTATCAGAAGGTGAATAAACCGGGCCTTAGATATGCAAACAAAAACAAAGCATAAAATTATCTCAAAAATAATAGATTAATCGTAAATAATCGATCAATCGAAAATAACCGAATAATCGAAAATAATCGATTAATCGAAAATAATCGAATAATCGAAAATAATCGATTAATCGAAAATAATCGAATAATCTAAAATAATCGATTATCGAAAATAATCGATTAATCGAAAATAATCGATTAATCGAAAATAATCGATTAATCGAAAATAATCGATTAATCGAAAATAATCGATTAATCGATTATTAATCGATTAATCGATTATTTTGCCCACCCCTATTATTACCTAGGTACCTATGGTTGAACCAAATCCAAGCGGCAGTAAATTACATAACTGGTCATTTTCATTAGAACCTATCAAATGTCCTCCGTGCATGCGCACTAGTCCAGGTAGGGCCGCTTGGATTTGGAAATGGTGTAGGCAGGTGTATATCCTGTTCACAATCCGATGTCCACAGGTGCAGGTAAATTTATCACCTTTCCCTATCAAATAGCATTGAAAGGTGATTTTACCTGTACCTACCTGTGGACATCGGATTGTGAACGGATAATAGGTATATTTGTTTCTGCATAATACATTCCTTGAAACCGACTTGATAATCATGGTGTCTCTGAAAACCTGTAGGTACATAAATCCCTTTTGCTTTATTTATTTAATTTAGTCTTTTATAGTACCTACTACCATGGAAGCACTATTAAAATCATGCGAAATGCCACAAAATGTAGTTGATAATTTAGTAGGTAGGTATTCCATTTTATTTTTCACTTTACTTTGAAATTTCTAAATTGTCCATTTAGTGTATTTTCATTTCCCTGCTTCATTTCCCTGCTCCATTTCCCATTCTCGTTCTCATTTTCCATATTCTCATTTCAATGCCAAATTTTTTTCTTCAAGAAAATCTTGGTTTTCTGGTGCTTATAGGTAATGATAATAAATTAAATTTTTAGAGCAAGGTTGTCGTCTGGAAAATTTGAGGTTATTGATACACAAACCAAGAGAAAAAGCAGATAATTCCAAAAGTCTTAGGCTATTATTTCAAGAAAAATTATCAGAATGGGCAATAGAAAAGGTATTTTACATGTTAATAATTATTAGATCAAACGAACTTACCAGTGAAGTTCGATCCTAATTTTAGGAGACCTCCAGTCCGAAGATATCAATACTATTTTACCACGTAGTAGACATTTGTCGCCTGTATTACCCACTAAGTTTAAAGAAGCCGGTCCTGTCCACTCCTGCTCTTCGCTGCCGTTGGCCATCTCCATCCGCCATCGCGTCATTTTGTTTAAATTATAATCTTTGCAACACCTCTGGGGAAACTGAAAAATATTGGGATGGGAAGGAATTGATATCTTCGGACTGGAGGTCTCCTAAAATTAGGATCGAACTTCACTGGTAAGTTCGTTTGATCTAATAATTTTAGTTCGACCTCCAGTCCTTCGATATCAATACTATTTTACCACGTAGATGTTCAAAGACAAGTTGCAAAGATAAGGAAAATATATTGTATTATAAGTAAGACATATATATCAAAAGTAACTCAAACATATTCTAAACCAAATACCACATGAAACATGAAAACTACAAGCTAAGTACAGATTTTGCAAAAGCAAATGAATCTATAACAGGACGATTATAAAATCTTGCAAACGTAGAGGAATCTTCTGACCAGCCTGCAGTCTGGCGAATGAGATCCAAAGAAATTCCTTTTCTTCTCGCGGCTGACGTAGACGCATGTCTAGTAGAATGGGCGCGAAACTCTTCTGTATTAACGCCGGCACGCGCCAATAATTCTTTGACCCATTTGCTAATTGTTTGTTTCGATGCACACTTGTAAGGTGGTCGAGTAACTAAAAACAAATTTTGTTGGTCTGGTTTCCTTATTTTTGCCGTAGCTTCTAGGTAAAATTTTAAAACTGATCCAACACATTAAGATGGATCTTCTGTAAAAAAAAGGTACATGTAAACAAGGTTGAAGCTTGCCAGGGCCTGAAGTCTTAATTTTATCTGAGATAAAAATTTGATAGCCTCCTACTGAATTGGTTATATTTTCAATTTTTATGAGGGATATGGTCTGTACTCGCTGACCAGTAACTAAGACTAAAAACGAAGCAAGCTTGATGGACAAATCTCTTAAAGTTAATCCATTATTTGGAAACATGTTCTTGAGGTGGGCTATGACTGGCCGAGTATCCCATATATGATTGTATCTGGGAGCAGTAGGCCTAATGTTACTTACCCCCTTCAAGAATCTCTTAACCCGAAAATCATTAGCTATATCTGTTGACAAAATTAAGGATAGCGCAGATCTGTGTGCATTAAAGGTGCCGTATTGTATAGTCTGGCTGTCCAACAGATTTTGAAGAAACTGTAGAACTTCACTTACCCCGGATTTGTAAACAGAAAGATTATGTTTTTGGCAAAAACCCCACCAAAGTTTATAGGTGGAATTGTACTGTTTAAGCGTTCCAGCTGATAATGATTGAAGTACGGTTCGTAATGTATTTTCTGGGTAATTTTTCAGCAGTAATGCATTCCAGATAATTTTGCTGCAACCAGGGTAAGGTTCTTCGCCATCTTGTGTTGTGAGCTAAAAGGTGAAGTAAGCAAATTAGGATCAGGCTTAAATAACAGGTAATCGCCTATCTTAATCTTCATGAAAAGAGGAAACCATGACTGGGACGGCCACCAAGGAACTACTACGATGCCTTGCGCTTTTTCATCGATAATTTTTTGAATAACTCTCAAAATTACACTAAAAGGAGGAAATATATAAAAATAAAAGGTACTCCAATTAATGGTAAAAGCATCAACCGCAACTGCATTTGGGTCTGGTAAGTAGGATACATATTTCTCACACTTGGCGTTAATGTTTGACGCAAAAAGGTCTATTTCAAAGGTACCCCACTCCTTCACTATGCGTTGAAAAGCATAGTTAGCCAAAGCCCATTCAGTTTCTGTTGGTAACATTCTTGATGCTCTGTCAGCTTTCCAGTTATCTTGAGAGGTAATATATGATGCAAATAAAAATGTATTTTTTAACTCGCACCACTGCCATATTTCTCGGGCTAAATTGTCTAAATTTCTATGTTGGACACTGCCCATTCTATTTATGTATGATAGGGCAGTAGTATTATCAGTGCGTATTAATACATTACAGTTGGTAAGCTCCTTTGCAAAACATCTTAACCCGAAAAATATAGCTTTCAATTCTAAATAGTTAATATGGTTGTTTTGGTCTGTTTCAGACCACCAACCATATGTAGAGAGTTCCTTGGTGCATGCACCCCAGCCGGTTAAGCAAGCATCAGTAAATATTTCTATCTTAAAAGTGTCCTGTCTTATGTCATTGGAAGAAATGAGAATGTGAGTGTCCCACCATAACAAATCAGATTTGATATCAGATGATAGGATCATTATAGCCTCATAACTCATATTATTTTCACGAAGGTATTTAATTTTCTCTCTTTCAAATGACTTGGTATATAACCAACCATACTTGACCGCTGGGCAAGCCGAAATCAACAGACCTATGAATTGAGCCCAGTGTCTAATTTTGCATGAATGAGAACTTTTAAAATGACCTATTGATTCTTTTATTTTTACGCGCTTCTCTGTCGTTAGACCTAAGGTCATATTTTCTGAGTTGAAAATAAAACCTAAAAATTTCTGTCGTTTAGAAGGACTTAATGAACTGTTTTCCCTGTTTATAATGAAACCTAAATTCTGCAAACAATTTAGTACAGTGACTGTATTAATAAGACACTGTTGTTCAGAATCAGCCAATATTATCAAATCATCCAGGTAACTAACGCAGCAAATACCTTCAGTCCTTAACTTGGTTATAACCGGTTTAAGGAGTTTAGTAAAAATATATGGAGCGCATGACAATCCAAACGGTAAAACGTTAAATTCGTACAGATTTTCCTGGAAATAAAATCTTAAATATTTTCTATGAGATTTTGCTACTGAAATCATAAAATATGCGTCCTTTAAATCAATTGTTGACATATATACATTAGGACGAATAAGACGAGAAACTGTTCGATAGTCCTCCATTTTAAAATGAGGTACCTCGACATATCTGTTTAATCTTTTAAGGTTAAGTATAAATCTTTTACTACCGTTAGGTTTATCTACAAGAAATATGCTTGAGACGAATTGTACAGATTCGTTCTTACATCTCGATACAGCGCCCGTACTTAAAAGATCCTTGATGCACTCTAACATTTCCTTAGTATCCCTATGAGACAGTATTTTTGCATAGGAAAAACTTTCTGAAGCTGGAGGTATGAATTGAAAGGGTATTTCAAAACCTTTTACCCATGATAAAATAATATTATTTGAAGTAATTTGTTTCCAACTGTCAACAAAGTACTGTAACCTTCCAGCTGGTATTTTACTTACCGGAATTACTTGTTTTTCCTGGAATAGAACTTCTCGTGTCTCGAGGATTGTTGGCCCTTGTAAGGTTTCGTCCCCCTCCCTGGACGACCTGGGCGATATCGGTTTTCCGGAATTGATCTCCTCCCTCCTCTTCTTTCGCCACTAGTATAATTTTTATTAGTGCTGGTTGAGGTACTCGGTACTCTAGTGAAGGCAGGTGTTGCCAGCAAGTCCTTACTTGTCTTTTCCAGCATTCGGGCAGATTTAATTTTTTCCCCGAAATCCAAACCAAACAAGGAGGTGTCAGGAACAGATTTTTCTATAATATCTTTCACCTGTCTGTTTACAGTTTGAGAAATCAAGGTACGTCTAGTTTGCGATAGGCTAAAAAATAAATTGGTTAAAATTTTACCTGAATCCCAAAGAGGAGTCATCAAATTTTCCTTTAATTCCTTGGGAAAATTATTGCCCTCTTCAAGAGTTATTTTAAGGCCCTGTCCAAGAGCTGAAAGACCATGAGAAATCTGATTTTGAATTGCCGAGTAACCAGAATCTCTCTTTTTATGAAGCGCTGACATAATTGCCAAGATTTCAGCGTTAACCTCAGGTGGCACTAACAAGGGTAAATTCTCTGGTATTTTGTGACGGTCATTTAAAACCCGTTTGTCCTCGTCCGATAAGCCATTAGACAATATATGATCCCATCGCGAGGATATGGCCTTATGAAGTTGGAAAGTTTACTTTCCACATTCCTTTGGATCGCTTCCTAAAATGGCCAAAAAATCGTCGCCTAGCTCAACGTCATTATTTATTATTAGTGACGGAGAATGGCCTCCTTCTGCTGTAATATTGTCTGGACTGTTTGGTCGTACGTGGTTTTCAACATGCAAGTTGAATCCCTCATTGTTGGTTGCGTCTGCATTCGTCGATACGTACGAGTATCGCTCTGCAGAAAAACTTCGGCGCCGACGGGCTGAATGCGTCCCTGTGCTCTCGACAGTCTCGACGGATCGACTAGAGAATCGACTTCTATCGCAGGAACGGCTGGAAAGCTCTCCCCGCTCCACCCATGAGCGCTGTCGATGGCGCGACGGGGAAGAATCGACCTTTCGCGTCTGTGTGGGAGAGCGAGTTAGCCTGCGTCGGTCACCTGATTCCAGTCGGCGAGAGCGAGAACGCACGCTCGACTCCGAACGCCGATGGCGCTTACTAGAGTATGTACGGGAACGTGACCTTCGTCTTTCTTGGGATCGTTCCACTTATGAATTCTTCTTAGTAATTCTTTTTTCGATAGCTCGTCATCACTACTTGATGACCGGTCTCTTTTCTTATGTTTTTTCATGGCTGGAAAGTAAATATTACAATCAAATTTACTTACGTGTGACAGCCAAAGCTTGAAAAAACCAGAACGCTCTGCACGATACAAGCACTAAATGTCGAATGACGCGATGGCGGATGGAGATGGCCAACGGCAGCGAAGAGCAGGAGTGGACAGGACCGGCTTCTTTAAACTTAGTGGGTAATACAGGCGACAAATGTCTACTACGTGGTAAAATAGTATTGATATCGAAGGACTGGAGGTCGAACTAAAATTCAAATTTATACAACTTGTAGCTACATTATTAAAGCCTCCATTGATTAAAACATAAATTTCGTTATTTATTTTAAAAAAGGTAGAATTTTTGAAAAGTTGGTCTAAATGCCAATACTTAGCTGTTTTGTTGGATATTTTTTTAAATATTTTTCATCGTACCAAAAATAGTTATGCTGCCAATTTTGTTTCTTTGAAGGGAAAACACCCTTTTGTTATACATTGGGTATTAGATTCCGTGTTAAATTTTGTGATTTTTTTATGTTTCATTCCGTTTGTACAAAATCAACTGTTAAATTTGAGTATACAGTGTTCGGCACATGAGTAGACATAAATAAATCTGAGATAGGTGGGGCCGTCTGCTATGCGGTCCACCCACTTATCTTTACCTGGGCCCTAAGAATTTTTTTTTGGAATTTTCAATTTGCAGATTTTAAACTGAAATAAATTTTTTAAAAAATCAGGAAAATGACATTTTCATTTCATTTTAATCTAAAGTAATTCTGGAATCATACAAATTTAATAATTGGGGCCCATGACAGCTACAAAAAAAAAATATGGGAGAAAGAAAAATACGGGACCTCAAACCTCTTTTTTGTGGTTTGAGGGCCCGTATTTTTCTTTGTGGCTCTCATGGGCCCCAATAATTAAATTTGTATGATTCTTGAATTAGTCTAGATTAAAATAAAATAAATATGTTGTCAGTTTCATGATTTATTAAAAAGTTATTTCAGTTTAAAACCTGAAAATTGGAAATTTTGGAAAAAAATTCTAAAAAAAAAATTTTAGGGCTCAGGTCAAAATATCTGGGTGGACCGCATAGCAGACAGCCCGGCCCCACCTATCTCAGATTTACGTATGTCTACTCATGTGCCGAACACCGTGTATATAGGTTATGTTATATAAAAAAAAGGTTAAAAATAAACAAGATATCCAAATTTACTGAAACCTGAGAGTTTTTATTTAAAAGCAAAAGCAAAGTTGGTATTTGTGCAGCTATTTTTGGGTATTATTAACTTTTCCATAAGTATGTTATATTTTATCATGATATTTTGATAATTTTAGGATTTGAGCGAGGCGACAACAGGTTCTGTCCGCTTCTGTACAGAGAGCTTAAATTCGGAAATGTCTAATGAAAATATCAGAATCATAGATCAAGCGGCATTATCGGCCCCCAATATTTATTCCCGATGCAAATTCATCAGTAAAAATTCTAGGATTTGACACTGTTACAGAGGTCTTATCGGAGACAAATTCCAGCTTTCCAGATTTTCACCTAAAAACATTGCTTTCTGTTTCACCAATGGGCAAAAGCATACTCAAATACTATGAGACCTACAACAATTTAATAAACACCCATCAGAACCGATTAGGTAGTTGATATTATTGTCAATCATATTTATACAACTATAGTTAAAAGGTAAGTTTACTGTGAGTATCGCATTCATCTATCTACATAATTAATAATATCATTTTATTGTCCAAAGCTTTTTTTACAGAATATAGCTTTGTTCCAACCCAGCAGATGAGAACTATACATTTCACCGTCAGGATTCTGCGCCACCTAAAAATGTGTTCGTAGAATTTGAAAAACGTATACAGAAGTGGTTCTGAAACCGTTCAAGATCGATTAGTGGATGAAAATATATTTGATTTGAAATAATTACTTTTTTATTTAGATATGTAACTTTTATCTTTAATATTGCGGGCTGTCAACAGTCAAGAATTATTTATAGAAGATTATAAGTTGTGTTTTGATTTATTTTTTAATACCTAAACCCAATATTTATTAAAAAAAAAGATTTTTTTTTGTGTTGTTACTAATTATAAATTTCTATACCCTATACCCACATAATATAAGTAAATAATATTACCAAAAATCGTGATAACTTTTATTTGCTTTTATGAATATAATATAATAGATAATAATATTGTCTATTCACAATCTGTAGTCCAAAGGTACAGGTAAAATTTATCAACTTTCAATGCTATTTGATGGGGAAAGGTGATAAATTTACCTGTACCTTTGGACTACAGATTGTGAATAGGATATACCTAATGTTTGTTTCACCAGGGTTTGTACTTGCCACCAGCATTTGCCTTCCTTGTTTAACAAATAAAAATTGACTGAAACAAATCAATGACGTCAAAAACGTTCGTCGGTTCTTTAACCAAAAGTCTATTTTAATTTGTCAAAAAAATTGAATGTGTCATTGAATTAATCTACGAAAATCCTTTTTTTTCAAGTTTCAAGCAGTGGCGGATTTAGAAGGGGGGCGCGGGGGGCGCGCGCCCCCCCCTATTGAGCGACGCAACAACGAAATTTTTAACGAAAACACAAACATATTCATCAAGCATTATCCAACATGAAATTCCATATGGTTTTTGCTAATTTTCCAAATTTTTAATACTTTTAAATACGTTTGGCAGCAACGAGCTGGGAGCGAATCGACTGCGGATGACGTAAATCCGCACCAACTTTGAATTTAATCTATAATTGAAAATTCCAATTAAATTTAATCTCCGATTAAATTAAATGTTGATGTCAAATGATAGTTTATGAAAATCTAAGACAGGAATGTGAAATCGGTTTTCCTCTGAAATTAACCGTTCAGGTTTTACAGCCTGTCAAAGTTGCAAAAAGTCAATGTTCAACTGTCAATATTTCCAAAACAGTTGAACTTAGGTATAGGGTATATCACATGAAATCTGCTCAGAATTTTACGTAGAATCCAAATATGCAATCACATACAGGGTGTTTTATTTGAAAAAAAGAAAGTTGGTCTAGATAGCAACAAACCAGAAGTGACACAGGCAATACGTTTAAGTAGAATTGTGGGAAATATTAGGGACATAAAGCTACTTGAAATAATTCATCGGTATCGGTATCCGTAACGCAACTAGATACGTTGACAAGCGAAAAGGCTGTTAAAGCGCTCCCTGTTCCGGTAAACGTAAACGCATTTCATAACCTAGACATTTTTGTCTCAAAACTTCGGCGTTTTTATATCTAACCTTAAAATTGTTATTTTTTTGCGATAGAGAAGCACTAAACACACAAGAAACTCAAGAAAGTATAAACTAAACAAATTAAATCAACCCGGAAGAAAAGGGAGGTTATATTCATTTGAAATTTGACACATGCGTCAGAAATGTCAAGATACGTTACCGATACGGATACCGCGAGAGGGCCGTAACGTTACGTTGTACGTACGGTATCTCGGCCTCCGTATCGCTTCTGCACATGCGCAGTACGATACCGATACGGATACCGAGCAAAAAATACGGAAGCTTTATGTCCCTAATTTACTGAGCAACTTTCATTAAGGTCACTTTTCCGTATACGAGGTAATTAGAAAGTTACAGGTATTATACGCGACTTTTTTGCCACTCTGTATATTTAAGTCGTTTTTTTATTATTTCTTATCTGAGCCTGAGGCCCTGATGGATCGCCCCCCCCTAGAAGGAATCCTAAATCCGCCGCTGGTTTCAAGGTCAAGTATGAACCCTGGTGAAACGAACCTTGCCTACTTTTAATCAGGTAAGATAATAATAAAAAGCGAAACTATTTTCATAAAATGAGGAAATAAAAATGTATAATTGAAGAACTAAATTCCTCATTATGAAATTGAGATAACTTTATTTGAAAATCTCACTATTTTCAAATCAAGAAACCGTTCTCTCAACACAAGAATATTGGTATTTTAAGTTGATAAATGAATTATTTTGTAAAGAGAAATCGACAAATCAATACAAAGTTACTTATACTTCAAATCAAGAAACCATTCTCTCAATATGAGAGTATTGTAACCTTAAAGTGATAAATACATTATCTGGAATAGAGAAAATGACAACTCAACATGAAGGTATTTATACTTTCAATTGAGAAAATGGTTTAACGAAATGAGAGTATAAGATCTTTAGATAGAATCTAACGCGAATTCTAAGGGAAAACTGAATATCTTGAAAGAAATTATTCGTTTTTTATATTAAATATATAATAATCTCCGTTAAAAATATATAGTTACTCAATTCCAAACCACAGAATTTTATATTAATTCCGGCTAGGTGAAGAATTATTTCTCTTCCGTTGACAAAATATTTCTTTGCCACATATGAAAGTCACGATGCTCTTAGATTGATGGCATCAGCTTCAATATGATATATCCTTTTTCTGTGTGAGGTATTAATCTGGTATCAGTTTCGTCTTGAGTACTATCTATGGTACTATTAAATTTTTCCAGATTTTTCGATCCTTCAATTTCACTTATTTTGTAACAAAGTTCAGAATACTGGAATCCACCTGTTATTATGACTGCTGAATCATTTATTAGTTTTTTTTTTAATGGTCGGACAGACACAAAAGGAAAGGATGGTCTTATCTGACTTATCTGGGCCTTATAGAGCAGCAAAAGCTGAAATGATGGGATATACAACTTCTTCGTTCTATTATAAGTGCCCCTAGCTTTTGAGTTTTATGTTGCTGCCTTGGCGATTTTGGTGAAGTGGTTGTTTTCCACGTTGATGCCTAGCAAGTTTATGGAGGCATAGGTCACTGATGTTGGTCCTGTCAATCCTGTCATTGTTAGGTCAGATCCTGCGGAGTTTGCCTTTTTTGAGAAAATAGTTGCTTGCGTCTTTCCTTCATTGAACTGGAGAATGTTGTTTCCACCACAGTGCACGATAAGAAAGACGAGATAAGGGTGTTGTCATCTGCAAAGCTGTGAATCGCAGGTTTAGTAATTCTAAAA